GATTATTACAACTTGTATGTATCAGATCTCACTGGAGTGAAGTATTCTCTGTCTTTGGAAAATATCCTCAGTGACAGGACTCCAATTTGGGGAAAGAATACAACACTAGTGGATCTTCACAGGGTTAGTAACATAAACGCTTATCATTTTGCAACCCATCAAGTACATAGAGTAATTTTCAATTGAATTTCCAAGGTAATCCATGATTACATTGAAACTCACGCTGCTCTCTCAACCAATCAGATGCAAATTTAAAACCATCATGACTTGGTCGCATTTTCCTGCGCCTAAGGACAGTTGATTGTTTTACTTTGAGTTTTCATGAGCTCTTCAAAGTAAGGCATAAGTGAGCTCACTGTCTGAAGCGCGGGAAAACGCGGGTGACCGAGTTACGACTGGTTCTTGTTTTGAATCTGATTGGTTGAGAAAGTGGGTTTTCTGGAGCAATCAAACACGAAAGTAAGGCAAAAGCAAGGAAACTGCTAGAAGCGCAAGAAAAGGCCGGGTGACCGAGCAACAATCGGTCTTAGTTTTGAATCTATTGATTGAGAAAGTGGCTTGAGGTTTTTTGGACCAATTAAACACCACAGGAAAGCAAAACCAAAGCTATATCGGTTTACTTTTGACACTCAATTTAAACTTGCTCTGTCACAAATATTTTTTTGTTACTGGTTTTTTGTAGGTTAAAAGTCTCAATGGAACGTACCTCGCGAATGTGTTCTTCCCAGATGGTGATGGAGGAAGTGATGTAAAAATTAGATCTGTGATTACATATAACAAGGGAGGTGAATGGTTTCCACTGAAAGCTCCATTAGTTGACCATAGAGGAAACCCTACAAACTGCCACCCGGTGTGTTTGCATGACTTTTTTTTATGATTTTTATGATAAAAAACTATATGCGTTAAATGTTCAGTTTCAGCTTTACTCCAATATCTGTCTCTTTATCAACCCTTTACACCCTAATATTACTATTCATATTCTCCAAACTCCTCTCTAATCCCATGGAGCTGACAAGGAGAATTACCTGAACAATCAGGAGCTTCTTAAACTGGTTTTAAACTAGAATTTCGTAGACCAATCACATAACTAAGTGAAGTGAACCCGAAGCAATCTTGGATTATTTTCAGCACTCATCTGAATATTTCTCTTACTCACTAGATCAACTAAGTAATTTTCCCCTCTATCTGCTGTAAAATTCCATGTCGACTGGCTAAGAGAATGTGGCTTTGTATGAGTTGGTAAAATTGTCGATTCTCGTCATCTGTTTGCTGATCATCGTAAGAAAATTGCTATGAGAAGTTTCTTGTTCACCTTTTTTGATAGTTGAAGTGTTATTATTCAGTATTCTATATATAAAATGTTGTATGCAACATTTCCAAAGGTTTTAAATTTTGGTAGGCTAGGAATTGAACCAGTTTTTGTAAAAATCTCTCTGCAGCCCAAATGTTCTCTTCACGTTCATATGGTGCTGGGCCGATGGTATTTGTACATCCCTCCTGTCCTGTCATCTTCCTCAGCCGTGGGAATCATTGTGGCTCAAGGTAATGTACTTTCTACAGATTCAGAATTCAAGCACAATTCAGTAATTACAATGGAGTGAAATAAAGGAGAAGAAGGATGGTTAGTTTTTGAGCTAGAGAGATGGTGAAATTTTGAACAAAAGAAATGGTAAATTTTTTTAACAAGAGAAATGACAAAATTTTGAACAAGAGAGATAGTAAATTTTTGAGCAAGAGAGATAGTAACTTCTTGAACAGGAGAGATGGTAAATTTGTGAACAAGAGAGTCGATAAATTTTTGAAGAAGAAAGAGTGTTAAATATTGAACTCGAGTGATGCTGGATTTTTGAAAGGTTTAAAAGTTTTTTGAAAGAAAGGTTTAATTTCTGAAGGAGAGGAATGATAGATTTGATATGAAGTGAAGTGGTTAAATTTTAAATGAGAGAAATGGTAAATTTTTTAATTATAGCGATCGTTCACGTTCCAATCATTAAGGCGATAAATTGTTTAACCCGACAATGAAAGGATTAAAGAGATTTTGTTCACTAATATGAAAACTGTTTTAAAACAAATGATTCAATATTCACCTTCAGGTAACTTAGGCAGTACTTTACGTCAAAGACCGGTTGGCCTTTATCTATCAAGGGACGGAGGATTATCATGGACCAAGGTGAGAGAACGAGTCATTGGAGAAGAGCCCTTCTCTGAAATGGCGATCGAAGTTAAGATGATTTCAGAAGGAATTAAGCAATTGAAATGATGAAAAGTATAAGATCATACATTTTCGTGGCTGATACAACACTCTATCACGCAGTCAATATTCTGAGTTCCAGCGTATAGTTTTGTTTTGTTTTGTTTTGTTTTTTTTTTTTTTAACTCTTTTTCGAGGCTGAATATGCAAAACCAATGGTTTTTATCCTCAGAGACTCAAATTAACTGTTTTTTTTCTATATGGAGAGTTTCTTAATGATCAGCCGTCGTTTTGAACATGGATATATTTGTTCCGTCGGTAAAGGCCTCATGTAATTTATTTTACTCATTTGAATTGGTAATTTTCGACAGGAATTTAACGGCTACCATGATTTTGTAATCGGAGATCATGGTGGTATTTTGGCAGCAGTCCCGCTCGTACGGAACGCTGACACAGTGTGGTAAGGTCTTTGTTTTAGCATTTTCCATTGCGATGATGCACATGATTGTCAGCCCGAAATGCTCGACCTTGGAGCCGCCCATGTAATTTTCTTTCTGGATACCGGTGGCTACCATTGTTTTGTGTTTAACCTCACCTAAATCACAAAATAATTCTTTTGCAGGTATAGTTGCACTGAAGGACAGGCTTGGAAAAATGTTTCTCTAGGAAAGGAACCAGTGACTGTTTTTGGCATGGTCACTGAGCCGGGAGGAACAACTCTTATCATCAAGTAAGGAATTCCTATATCTATGTAGTTTAAATATGCTCCGGTGTAATTTGTAAACAAAACAGAGGTGAATGACGCTCCTTTTGCAAACTTTTAAATTTCATTCCTTTGCATTTTTTGTGTTTGGTGCAATTGTGTTTTGATCAAAGTAAAAGATCTTGTTCACCTTGTTGTTTCGGTGTCCCAATGTAAATCATGTCACACCATACGCAGGATTAAATTCTGATTGTTTCATGTTCGCTCATATTTTCCGCCTTTGAGGCCTGGATATCGGTGCCTACCGTGAGTTGTCATTGGCTCCTTCGGTAATTATTCTTTAATCTGATTGGTTTGATTTGATTTTGCGGTACCCAATCGGAATGCGCACTGGTGGGTTTGTTGTCACGCTCCTTGAAAACTGCTCAGACTAGCAATATAGAAACCGTCCCTCGCAGGAAAACAGAAACTAAATCAACGAACGCAATGATCCCCGCAAGTCATTTATCACCACTGTCATTTCAGCAACTGCAGTAAAGAAGTCTGAGAAAATTCAGGCTTCGATGAGATTCGAACCCGTGGTTCCCAGATACCAATTTGGCGCTACTATCAACTTTAACTTTAAGAGTTAATTCGTAAAGCTGTGAAAGAGAAATTAAATCGTATTTCCATTTTGAATTTATCAGTGTATTTGGTCAGCATACAGGCCGCACATTTAAATGGCTCTCGGTAAAACTGAACTTCACGTCAGTTCTCAACCAGAAGTGCCTAGCAGATAACTATACAACTTGGTCTCCCAACGATGAGGTAACAACTAAGAATTATCGTCCTTAGAGCGGTTTTTTATTGAGTGTTGAAAAATTTTGCCGAGAGTTATCTGGGAATGCTTTGGTTTTCTTCATTTTGCACCGTGATTGGTTCAGAAAACTCATGCCATCTTCTCAACCAATCAGAAGCAAATCTGATACCAATCGCGTCTAGGTCACTCTCATTTTCCCGCGCTTTTTTTTTTTTGTTTGTTTGTTTTCTTTTTTCAGTTTGCTCTTTTTGCTTCTCGCTTGCTCCTTGTGTTATTTTTTTCCTTTGGCATTATCAATGGAACTGCGCTCTAGGACAATCTAGGTAGTGTTATACCGCCTCAAGTGAAGAGAAGAACAACTTTTAGGTCAATTAGATAATATTTAATGTATTATAATGTAGTCCAGAAAACTGATTTAAGCTGACGAACTAAAACTTCAAAAGCATAATTGCAAAAGCCAGTTTTTCCAATGAACTGCTGCTATTTACAGAGCTTTAATTTGAAGAATCATTGTAAGTAGTAATTGCACTAAATCATAACAGCCGAACTGTTCCCAAGTTTTTTCGAGGTATTTTTTTCTTTTTTCTCTTTTTCCCCCTTTCATGAGAAGTAAAACTTACTGAAACAAAAATATTGTGCTGTTACTTGAAAGCAAATAGTGTTGTACCCAAAGGGATATATCAGTTCTATGATACTGTATCGTAAAATGTGGAATTTGTGAGTTGGCCATTGTAACTTTTTTCCAAAATGTTTCGCAGGTCTTGTCTTTTAAGTAATAATTTTCTTTTAAGCAATAAAAGTGATACTGACAAGAACGGTAACATTAACGATTGCAATAAGGTGAATGATAATTATAGCAATAATCATTGTGATAATGGGTTTAATGATAGGGAGTTAAATAGTTATCTAGCGATTCTATTTTGTTGAATAGATCGCGGTTATCACACAGCAATTTTCCTCCACTCAAGGCCATCCTGATTTTATTCTAGCTCTTTTCTTCCCTTTTTTCTCTTGTAGCGTATTGACGGGGAATGTTTACTGGGTCAACACTTCGTATATGAACGTCGCAAAAGCGGAGATTGCTGCTTCAACGGAAAGGAATACGAGAGAGAAATCAATATTACAACTTGCGCCTGTGAAGAAGACGATTTTGAATGGTGAGTTACAAACGCTGTGCAGAATTTGATTCTATATGGGTTCAAGTAAAAGGTTTATACTGTCTTTTATTTCTCGGATTTTTTTTTCCGGCTGGAAGCTTTTTTTCGCGGATGAAGGTTTACGCCTAAATACTCAAAATTGTCATACCACTTGGTGGACACTACTCATTTTACTCTCTAACAAGAATTTTACAATAAACTGAATGATACATACATTTTTATTAGGTTCTTACCGATGATCTTTAGGAGTACAAATGTGTAGAAGAAGTCGCAATTAGCAACATTTTGCTACTTTATTATAAACTCATGTTGCCGTAAGTCTGTACAGTAAGAGATCACAGAGGAAGTCATGATGTATTAGGAACACAAGGGACACGATCAGCTGTACTTCATCTGCCACCTTTTTGTTCTTACCACACTTTGACGTCAGCAGACGCGCGGCAACGGACGGCGACTGGTGTAGCCAATCAGATTGCAGCATATAGGCTAATAAGTCTATAGTAATATTTTATATTTTTGTTTTTAAATAAGTGACTTTGGCTACGAACACTCAGAGCTCTCTAAAGTGTGTGAGCCCACGGCCGACGCAGCTCCAGTGCCAGCTCATTGCCCAGAGGGAAAAACGTATCCGCACAGTCGTGGGTAAGATTGATAAACAACACGAGAAGTTCCCTTTAGTTACTAAGGTCGTGCGACTCCTTTCGTGCTAAAGATTTCGTAAAATTAAAGAAAAATAATCACAACGACCATCAGATTAAAAGAAAATATGACCAGTTAAGGAGAAATCAAAGTCAAAAAAACAAAGAAAGGCAGGAGCAAAACTAATGGAACAAGTAGTTATTTTCGACACTGAATGGGGAATTTCTCTATCAGTACAACAATGAATAATGGAAGAGGACGATGAAAAACCCGTTGAATGAAGTAAGGTCCATGTTGTTAGTGGCAACACGTTGAAACCTCAATTTTATCTCAAAGAAAAACTTTTCCATGTTTTTGAACGGACTGTAGTGGAACGCTCCAGTGTATTTTTGGTGGTGTTAAGGTTTCTTCATTCTATTACAGTTACAGGAAAGTTGTCGGAGATCGCTGCAAGGGCGGGCGCGAAGATAAGTTAATGCCAGAGATAAGGAATTGTCCAATAAAAGGTATGTGAACGCCGTGTTGAATTCTCTTTGTACTCGTAGTCGCATCGTTGATTCTGAAGAGGACGTGTTGCTACGATTTATGGTAGTTGTATTAAGGCACAGTCAGGAGATATAGTTGAATTGTACAAGTAGCTCGGTATTGACAAATAAAACGCTTTCCAAAAAACCAAAAAGCAAAGTTATCTCTAGGGCCAATCGCAACAAAGGAGAGTATTACAAGGAGTCAATGAAAACCGAGAATAGAAACAAACAAACCGCTTGAAGCGCGGGAAAACGCGGGTGACGTCGACGCGGCTGGTTTCAGTTTTGCATCTGATTGGTGGATTAGGCGGCGCGAATATTCTAGACTAATGACGAGCGAAGGAAAACAATGCGATCCTCGATACTTCCGACACTTTATTGAAAATTTCTCCCCATGACCTTTGATCAATAGCTGTTTTTATGACTTTTTAGGATACTGAGAATTGTAAAGATCATTAACAGCTTCTCCTGCACCTCTGATCCATAGTTTTCAAACCATTGCACTAACAAATAAATTAGAGCAGAATCCCATTAGTGTTAAACCACTTTCGCCGGCAGATCATCTGTGATGTGATCATTATACCACCGTTTTACATTTCACTTGATAGCCTTCGTTTTCTTTTACGAATGATGATTGGTAACAAACATTTTGCTTTCTTCAGCACCTTCAGATCTCAGAATCACGTTTGGAAAATTGTACGTGGAAACAAACACAAAAGTGACCTTCTCTCTTGCTCAGGGACAGGTAGGGGAAAATTTTAAATTTTGTAAATAATTAAGCAGGTTAAATGTCACTGGGCCTTGCTCCAGCAACAGCGACCACCTCGGAAGTATTTCCTAGACGAAGTATTAAATTTTTTTCACGCCAATTTTTCCGTTGGTCATAGGTGTGACTAATTAGAAGCTATTCAAACAAGGAGTCTTGACTCGAGTAATAATTTTTTTGGATCAATGTCAGTATCTGAGCAACTGCGTCCCTACCCCTCCCCTCCCCTAACCCGACAACAGTCGGCTGATTACAAGTTCGGATTAATATTGGGTTAGGGGAGGGGTAGCTGTACAAGTGCTCAGATTCTGACTTTGATCTAATTTTGTTGTTGTTGCGATAACCAGAACAACGCCGTGTGGTGGGTCTCCGTGTACGGCCAGGTTACTTAGAACTCAAAATGGTGGCGTCCATGTTCAAAGTGTCCATACATATGAACTGTATTTGAACTAAGAGATTACTCTTCGGAATCTCAAGATGCGAGTAGTGGTAATTTGTTAAAGATATCTTCTAATAGTCTACGTCTACTTTAACATCCAGGGCTCCACAGAATCCACGTGGTATGAATGGAACTTTGGAGATGGCAGTAAAAGGAAGAACATCACTGGACTTAGCAATGCTGAAAACATCTCCCACACTTTCTTTCATCATGGCACCTACAATGTAAGCGTGGCTGCTGGAAACACTGCTGGCCAAGATAACGGAACCACAGAAGTTATAGTCCTAGGTAAGACGTAGATAAAACTTAAAACAGTTTCGACATCCCTCAGAAAGAAGGGAAACAAGAATTCTACTATAAGCTTATCACACAGCAGTTATCACTTTTAGAAATTTCTCGGAATTGCTTCCTCCTTATGCCTTGCCTCTTGACACTGTTTAGATTGTAAAAAGGTTTGTTAGTGCCAAGAAATAAAGCAGTAGCCATTTCGGGAAACGGGTTACGTTTGGCTTGGAGTACGATAAGGCTTTCACGTTCCATAACAGCCCCCTACCCTCTGAAGGTAGCCACATTACTGGTCACCTCGTGCTGCAGAAATTGCAAAATCCCTCGACATCATCGGGTTGCTTTGGTATTAAGGCTCCGAGTGTCTGGGTGGTTCGATTATTAAACCGCTTTGGAGAGAATAATATCTGCTTTTAAGTCATATCCCTGGCTGATTCTCATAAGCTCCTTCAAATTAAGTTTACTGGGGATGTTTAACTGTCTTATGTGCCTCTCTTCACTCAGGAGTTAAAATGAGCACCGGCAAAGTGCTAGAACACTCCTGTACTGCAGTTGTGAGAGCAGATGCTCACTGCGATGGTTTTGCGTTCGGTCCTTAACGAGAAGCTATGCCAGTTGTACTTTCACGCTTGTCTTTTTTGTTTTACTCGCGATTCATGATAATTTTGCCTTTTCTCTTTGTCTGTAGATCTTATTAAAGAAGTCGATATCGAACCGCCTCACGCAGTGGTAGTTGGCGTTGAGGCGTGGTTCAACGCCACTCTGCACTCCACTGCCTGGGCTCAACAGCAAACATCAAGCCCAAATTTTGGCTTAACACATTACATGTGGACATTTGACCAGAACGACAAAAACACGCTTCCTTTATTGACTTGGGAGAGCGAGGTGCACTACGTATACAACAAAGCAGGCATCTATAAAGTGTCTGTCCAAGCCAGTAATGGGATTGGACAGACAATTGGCAGTACAACAGTAACTGTGTATGGTAAGTGAACCCTTAAACCCCTCAGAGTGATTGGCTTCTAATTTCTCCTCACAGTAACATCCTTGAATCAAATGAAAATGTCATGAGTAGAAAGGAAATGATCGCCAATGTAAGAAGCTCCTGATTGTAAAACAAATTCTCCTTGCCATTACCGTAAGAAATATGAAGATTACTGTGTGGAGAATATGGATACTAATGTTTAGGTGTAATAGGTCTACAAGGATCCGCTCGGGGTGGG